TCAATTTCTTCTTCATCGGGTTTTTGTCTTCCATCTGTGGCCGTTCTTCAGGCTTCAGTGTCCGTTCCGGACTGTACCACTCATGGACTGCATGGGTAAAGCAGAAGGGGATAGTTGCCCATCTTTGCCATGCCTTGTATTGAATAAATTGGTATGGTCTGCTTCTCAAAATTCATGGTCACCCATTGCACTGTCTTGGATGGTGATGTTCTTCCGGACACTCCACCCCGTTCTTACCCCCTTTCTTCTAGTGGAGTATGGTAGTCCTTATCACTTTCCAGATCCAAGCGACTGGGGTGGTTGACCATGGAGCCACCCTCCTGAATGGGTTCCACATAAATATGGCTATTATCATTCAGTGCAGAGTAGAGTGGTGTTGTTCTGCGGGTGTAGATGACGTGTTATCCTCCAATATGCAATATACACTCACAATGGAGCAAGACATCAAATTGCAGTTCACCCCTTTGATTGGGAGCCCTCATCTTACCCTCACATGGATGTTGGTACTCCGTGGCTGGGTTTTGGATTTAGAGTAGAACCAATCAACATAAGTCCTCACATGTGGTTATGGTTGTCTATATACCTCCCTCGATTGTACTCTTTTTGTGTTGTGAATCATAGTGGAAGTAAGGGGGATTGTTCTGGTTCTGTCCTTTTTGCTATCCATCATTGTATCTTATTCGAAGGATGTTATTGCTTTTTAGATGGTTTTGGTCAGTTTTGCTGTTGGGAGAGTTGATTTATATTATATAGACATCCTTTCGATATCTGAGGTCAGGTCCCCAAATTGATAGATCAAAGCTAATGCTTGTCATGCTCAGGAGTTGCAGTGGTTCTAGATTCCCCCCAGTCAGTTGTACTTGATCCTCATCCTAACCCCGTGTGAATGTCGTTTCCCAGCAGCATGGGTTTTGGATGTAGTTGACTTACCGAGTATGGTCTGTTGCACCCTAGCCACTCTACACCTAGGAGCACATCTATTGTTTTGCCCACTTTTATACTTTGTGGGATTGAGTTACATATATATTTACATGGTTAGATCACTATCCTGCCACAGTTCTTTTCCACTTGGATGTGTTCCTCCCTATTTCCACTTTTATCTACTACACGTTTCATGGAAGGTCAAAGAGTATACCTGGTTCAGTAGTGATGCGATTCCCCTCATCAGATCTTTGGATCTGACTCTCTCATTTCCAGGGGTATCCTTGAGATGCTTTCGAGGGGGTACTGTCATTTCCTTGCACCAGTCCCACCACCTAATCAATGTGGGATTATAGCTAATCTTGTGAGCAAAGGGAAGTACCATATTGAAAGTTATAATTTTCCTATACTGAAAATGTATTTCCGATAGGTATTTCCTTCTACTCGCACTTCCCACCCTTCCTCCTCACTTTCCTCAGGTTCATACGTCTTCTGTGAAACTTGAAGTGATAGTTCGGTAGAGGTGTATAGAGGTAGTCACATGCATTACGTATGTCATGCTCCTATTGTGGAGAAGTGACAAATGGTGATATACATGAAAGAGTGAGATATTGAAATCATTTAATTTCAATATGGGGGAGCAGAGGGCTTGTGACATGACTAAAGAAAAATTTGCATATAGAGGGCAGCACTAGTTGTGAGTGGAGGGAAGTACCTATCGGAAATACATTTTCAGGATAGCAAAATTATAACTTTAAGAAAATCATTATGTAATAAGTAATAAATACTTGATAAAAGTCATAACCATCCCTTAAACCTCATCTAAACATAAATGAAGCTGAAACTGTTATATTGGGTTTACCCAAACTAATCTTGCTTGAGACCTTCCCTTTGCTGAAAGCCATTTAATTGTTTTATATTAGTCAGAAACATGATTTGACCTTAAGCTAACATGATAGCTTTAGGAGGAACAATACATTTAGTAGTAAAGTATATGTGAAATTACCTCACAATAACACTGAAATTAAATTAAATCACATCATTTTATATTTATCCAGTACTGGTTTCCAATAAGAAGAATGTATATAATACCTTCTTAGTCGTTGAATGCTACTGCTGATGAGGCCTTTTAACATCTTTATGAGTGGGATTGGAAATCAAACCCTGGAGAAAAATTCCATCAAACCACACTTTTGAAGGTTAGTAACTCTTGGGTATCAGAGCTCATCACATGCATGTCACTACAAATGGTCCATCGATTATCCTAATTTCACCTGCTAATGCGTTATATACCCTAAGGCATACTGTTTCACAAATAACTAATATAAATGGTTGGTTCATCTAAGATTTTGTTTGATGTAACTCACCTTTAAGCTTGGATTGAGGAAATGGCCTCATCTACAGCAGTGTACAACAATCAAGGTACATTTGAAGTGCTGTGTATTATCAAGTTTTCTACCCCTTTTAGTTTATTAAACGTTTTTTTACTATAGTTTGCAAGGCTGGAACATAGCATTACTTAAGCAGTTGTTTGAGTTTTAACTTTTCCCAGGGGCTAATTGGGTCAAGTGGAAATTATGTACCTTCTTGTCTGATTTTCTTGCAGAATAACAGTGTGCTTTTTAACTCTCACTACGGGGTCGCTCAATTTGATCGAGTCATGTGACCTTTTGTACTCGTTTAAAGTCTATAAATTTAATACTTATAACTCTCAGTATATTGGGTATATCTTCATGAAATTTGGCAGTCTTTTAGTGAATGTTACAAGTCTTTTAAAATAAAATAAAGATTTGTCCATG